GGACATTGTTAATTCGACAACCCATGAGGTCTTACTTTTGAGGTGCTAGCTCACTGGAATACAATTCCTTGTATTCATATCCTACTCACAAGGACCATCTTTGCAAGTGTTACTCCGACACTTGATTTGTTCTCTAGGGGCAACCTTTTGCCCCTTATGACCACTTGTCCATGTGATGAGAATACCAACTCATCCTCTAAGTACACCCCCCAATTCCTTAGGTTGTTCCAGTATTTATTAGAGGTAACCCCGGCTACCATTTCAAGGATTTGTGTCCTTTTCTGTATTTGACCTCCCTCGGTCATCAATTCCGGTCTCAAGTTTATGAGCACCAGCCTCCACTATATGAGGGTAATCTTGTGACTCCTTTATCGTTTTGGAGTCTACATCTTCCCCGTGATCCCAACTATAGTTGTTTACCACAACTATATTAGCCCGTTTGCTGCGTCAAACGCTCATCTGGATCACATCCTCAACTCTCTGAGGAAACCCTCATATTATTCCCAAGATCCCAAAGTCATTCCTTTACTGGCCCTTTTCCATGCACTACATCGTGCACAAGTTCACGCATGAACTCGAGTGGAGAGCCATGTCCTCTTGACATGCTACTCCTCGAGGATAGGTCCATACTTAGGACTTTCCAATTCCAATACAAGTGGTGATATACTTGGCCACCAATAAGAGTTGGACTAAGGAACAGCTCCGATACCAAATTGTAAGAGACTAAATTTTCCATTTTACTTTAGTCACTTAACCGCACCTCCGACCACTTGGAGGAGTTTCATTCACAACCTCTATAAGTCCAATTCAGGACTTAGGCTTGCTAACCCCAAGGATGGCATCCATGCGACTCAACCTTTGCACTTGGTCCAAGTGCTCCACGTGTCCAATCCCATGACTAACACCCCAAGGTACCACCAATATATCAGCCCATTACGCTAAGGCCCTGCCTATTCACTTTAGTCACACTAGTGGTCTAACACCACCTACCTCACAATCCCGTCTCTCAAAGACTAGGCCATCCATCCAGCTGATGAAGAAAGGAACTTGGACTCGGACTCGGACTCGGACTCAGACTTGGGCTCGGGCTCGGTCTCGGCCTTGGCCTCGGTCTCGGTCTCGGTTCCGATCTCGGTCTCGGTCCCGGTCTCGTTCCTAGTCTCGGTCCTGGTCACGTTCCCAGTCTTGGGTCCATCTCGAACTCCACCTCGGACTCCATCTCGGGTCCATCTCGGACTCCATCTAGGACTCCATCTCGGACTCCATCTAGGACTCCATCTCGGACTCCATCTCAGGTCCATCTCGGACTCCATCTCAGACTCCATCTCGGGTCCACCTCGGACTCCAACTCGGGTTCATCTCGGGTTCATCTCGGGTCCATCTCGGACTCCATCTCGGACACTTCCACGTGTCATGTGTTGGTCCTTTTGGGTCCCCTTTTTGGAGCCTCGCTTATTGCTCGCTTCATGCTTGTTCCTCGAGCACTTTGTTAGGAGTTCCACTCCCACTCTCGACCTTTCCAGTTGAAGCTTTTAGTGCAAATGTGTTACGCTCATTTGGCTTTCGTTTCGGCCACTACTACATGGCGCCCTTCCAGCTCCACTTTGGGGCTTAGGGATTTTGTGTCTCACACAGGCACACTCAGGCTCCTTTGCATCAGCACATCCCTAAAACTGATATCAAAAATATTCACACGCAAAATGAAAAGTCAAGTGTAGTCAAGATACACTAAAACTAAAAGAGTTGTTAATAGCTCTTTGAGATCCATAAACGTTCGCTCATAGTCCATAGACCAGATTAAAGATGACATTGATGATTTCAACAATGTTCGCAATAGTGCAGTGCGATGAAAAAAATGATCATCAAAACAACCAAGATATTGCACTTTGCCCATGAAGCATTGCACATCACTTATACACTTTAGAGTAGAGAATTTTAGAACAGCCACAAGTTTGTTAGGATTTAACTTGCAAGCCCTCAAGGGAAATATAGTACCCAAGATAAGTTGTGTCCTTGGACCCAAACACACACTTCGACCATTTCAAATTTTAAATCAACTTCTCATAACTGATCCAACACTTTATGAACATCATGGATGTGTTCCTCTCATGTCCCCTTTGAGTAGATTAAAATATTATTAAGGAAGCCAATAATCACTACTAGCATATTATAAAGAACCTCGTGCATCATTCACTGGAATGTTGTTAGAGCATTGTTCAAACCAAACGGCATCACCAAGAATTTATACAAACCAAATGGTGTTCGAAAAGCAGTCTTAGGAATATCTTCCTAGGCTATTGATACTTGCTAATACCCAGAAACAATACGTCTCAATACGCGAGGGTTCTTATCAAGCTAATGCAAGACAGAGCAAAAGAGAACTAACAAGCCGGGCCAAGTATGCTCAGCTAAATAGACACTTAGGAATTCCTTCCTTATGGTCATCCGGCCAAGTACAGATGCAAAGTCCAATTTACTAACACTTGAACAAGAGGGGCTGATAAAGGGAACTAGCAATACCGACTTCTTGCCATCATGGCAGTAAGGAAAGAGTATCTAAAAGGACTAGCTGACAAGTAACTTTCGATACCCAAAGTCACATTCGTGACATTTGGCCAAAGTGACTCAACCCTTGGAATAGAGGAATACTTAACACCAGAACTGATCAAATACTCTACTAATGAAACAAAAGCAAGATTTTCAACTTCATGGACACACTCAACATCTAGATTAATATGAGGAGGACAAAAAACATTTAACTCAACACTAGACTGAGAATGAGAATCATGAGAGTCACAAATGATCGACGTGTCAAAAGAAGAAAACACTGCAAATGAGGAAGAAATATTAGGAACATAAGAAGGTGGCCGAGAAATAAAAAAAGGTTGGAAAAGGGTAGAAGGAAAAGAAAAAAGATTAGATAACAAATTGAAAGATTGACACCTACCTCATGAACTCTTCACTTCATCTCCAAAAATATCTTCATAATAATCAAGCTCATCATCATACTTTGGAATCCACTTGAGCTCGTACACATTGTCTTCCCATAAACTTGATCCTCGAACATCTTCTAAAAACTAGATTGCATCATCCATAGCTTGCCAATCAATATCACAATCACACTTCACATTAACGGAAGATGGTAGAATATTGAGAATAGGATAAGTTGTGTAATCATGTCTTACAAAAGTTGGAGATGGCAACATATCAAGGATGGGCATAACACCAACATAATCACACCCCACAGCACCAAAAATTCAATCCAACATAGTAGCATTAACAGCCTCAAATGATATATTGATATAAGGGGTTCCAAATGTATAGTAGGGATAGTGGGTAGGTTGGGTATGATTGACTAACTTGAGGCATAGTCTAGCTCCTATTTGCGTGCCTATCCTTGTTCTGTGTTTGGCTTGGGTCTAAGCTTAAGTTCCATACCATGCTAGTTGATGGAGTATCTATATCCTCATGTTAGACCATCAGTATACTAAAATAGCGCCAGACTCTGTTTGGTTCCATTTTGTGTGATGGTCTTAACATTGGGATACTAAATACTTTAAGACTATCCTAAGTTGCTTTGTATTCTTGTCCCTTTACTCCTTGGGGTAATCACTCGGGAGTCATTCGGTGCTCTAATTCCTTCACTCCTTAGCTCCATGCTTGGGAGTTTGGCTCCATTACTTTGTTCAATGGCCCAAAGCCTTGAAACTCAGGTTCCACTTCACTATCCTTTGGACACATGGCATGTGGCATGTGACACATGGCACATGAAGGGTTTAGGTTCCACTTTATGGTTATCCTATGGTAAATCACCATAGAATAAAGGGTAAAAACCACATGCGCTCCAAATATTATGAGGGTTTTATATAGAGTTTATATGGTACACTCATATTCATAAACTCTTTCCTTCTATATTTAAACCTTTATTATAAATAATTTTTCAAGTTGTTTTATTTAATTGTTTACAAAAACTTTTTAATGCTCCTGCTCATGGAGCAATCACTAATGTTGCACTAACCCAAAATGTTAGTAAAAAAAAAATCAATACTTCACTACTAGAAGGATTAGAGCTGCCACTTCACTTAGGCCCTCTTTCCCTCTTTCCACTAGTTAGTAGTTTTTAGGTGGAAGATTCCATCCAGGTCTATATTCTATTAGACTAAGTTTGTTTAGCTAAAGTACCTTCTAAAGTATACTAAGTTTCACCACTACTTTAAATTGTGATATCTAATTAGTAGCTTTAACCTGCCAAGCAATTTGAGTTTGCAATATTTAAGACTGAATTCAGTTTGATTCATAAAGCATCTTGTTATATCCCTTTTTTTGGTGCATTAGATGTATAGACAACTTATGAAACATCAGAAAGATTGGAGAGGACAATGGATCACTAGTATTTTGACATAGTGACTGCTAAGCCATGTGACAAATTCTTATTTGGTTACAAGAAAATTGGCTGCCTGCCACTTACCCACACGTGAATAGATGGAGGCAATTATTTAGGATAATAGAAGATCTGACATGGTGTAATTTTATTAAGTGTTAAAATCTTCTACCGTCTAGTGGGAAGACACAGGGAAAATCACTCGATGGATCCATTGCAAGGGCACAAATCCATGTCCTGATCATGTGGAGGGAGCTTTGGAAGCAAGAACAGCACAAGCAACCGAGTGGAAGAAGTCTCTGGAAGAGTAAGATCATCATGCTAGAAGCTAAGCTTTCCTTTTTTTGCGATCGGCTCCTTGTCAATGCCAAGCAAGAACAAAAGGTTTCAGTCAGCTCCTTAAGGAGAAAGAGTCGCTACTATCCCAAGTGAAAGATCCATATGACAGGCCTCTTCTAACATAAGAACAAGTAAAATGATTCTAGAAAACTATAGCCCTGACAAAATATTTCCAACGAAAGGGTCTAACTTAACGTTTAGTGATGGTGGTGGAAGATAGGAACTAAGAAATCACGTAAAAACTAATGAGTGAAATATAAAATTAAAGTGACGTGACCGCTTGTATTGGCGCCGTGGTCAGCGCCTTCGCGGTTTAGAGGTTTTCTTTGCGTGAGCCATTGGTAGAGCAGTCTCAGATCCTCTCCTCCTCTCCGGTGCAACTTCTTTTCTCGATAATTCGCCGCCTGTGGATCTGGATTATGAAGTTTGGGAAGAGATACACTGAGTATGTGGAGAAGGAAGGACACCTTCTCAAGGGGTGCTCGTGCGTGGAATTCAAGCGCCACAAAAAGACTCTCAAGCATTGCGTCCGCCAAGAGCTCCTCAAGGCGCCACCGGCCGGCGATCCATCGTCTGTCGCGTGCAATGGCCCCATCGCGTGTCCAGGTAAAGCTCACATTCTCATCGCGATTGTGTTTTCTTTTGTTTTCTTTATCACCAGTCTGCGATGGGAATTTTTTCCCCAATTTGCTCAAGGAGATTTCGGCCGTGGTGGGCTGTTTCAAATCTTGCGCACAGCAGCTCCTGGAATTCCACCTCTCTCCCAAGTTCCAGAGGATGCTACTGCGCATGAGGCACAACTTTGGCGGAGATCATGACACGATGATCCATCAGGGAAGAAACTTGGTAAACTATGCCTCGATGAACGCCATGGCCATTCGCAAGATACTAAAGAAGTATGACAAGGTATTTCTTTGCTAGCGCGGAGCCTCACTTGCTTCTTTTTCGCTACTTGGATGGCCAGGTGCATTGCTCAATAGCAGGGCAAGCTTTTAAAACACGACTGCAATCCATGCACGCGGAGCTCCTCCAGTCCCCATGGCTGATCGAGCTAACTGCTCTCTACATCAACCTCAAGGATGAAAAGGATGGTGAGAAAGGTGAAAATGGCCTCAAGGTTAAGAAGGATGGGAAAAATGGCGAGAGTAGCGCGTGCAGTGGTGAGAACTTATCCTCTCCCGAGGGACTGGCACACTGCTCTTGTGAATGTGGCGATTCCAAGGCTACTCTCCAGAGTACGCTCGTCGATTCGCAAGCGTTTGAAGCGGATCTTACATGCTCGATCTGTCTGGTAAGATGATATCGATTTTTACACCGGTTCAGCTTTGTTTGTCTTTTAGGAAACACTGTTTGATCCAGTGGCTCTGGGCTGCGGGCATCTCTTTTGCAATACCTGTGCATGTTCTGCGGCCTCCATTCCAACTATTCAAGGCGTCAAGTCTGCCACCAAGGAGGCTAAGTGTCCGCTTTGTCGACAGGTAAAAAAACTCTATCAATGCACAGTTAGCATGTGAGCTTTTCCTTTCTTTTCTTTGACTTCCATCGTGAAGCCCGGGGTGTACCTGAGCGCGGTTTTCCTGACGGAGCTGAACTTGATGATCAGAAACAGGTTGGTTTTCAGTTTCTTTTATTTCGGGCAAGTGAAAAAGTCTTTCTCGATTGTGTCAACAGATGCATGGATTATTGGGACGAAAGACTGAAGAAAGAACGCGTGGAACGCGTCCAGCAAGTTAAGGAGCACTGGGAGAATCAAATGAAAATGGTGCTCGGAATGTAAAAGTCGCCTGGAATAAGCTTTGTTTTCAGGAAACAAGTTCGTTTCAAAGCATAACTCTTGCTAATCTCTTGCTCTATCTTTGAAACTGTGGTACTAGCTCGGTAACAAAGAACAGGAAAATTGTCCCATGGTGCTTGGACATGATCACACGCCGCCTAGGCCTCGGCGCCCTCTTCTTCAAACTCTCCCTCCTCGTCGGCCGACGCGTCTTGGTACTGCTGGTACTCGGACACGAGGTCGTTCATGTTGCTCTCGGCCTCGGTGAACTCCATCTCGTCCATCCCCTCGCCAGTGTACCAGTGAAGAAACGCCTTCCGCCGGAACATGGCCGTGAACTGCTCGCTTACCCGCTTGAACATCTCCTGGATGGCAGTGGAGTTCCCGATGAAGGTGGCCGACATCTTGAGGCCCTTGGGAGGGATGTCGCACACGCTCGACTTGACGTTGTTGGGGATCCACTCCACGAAGTAGGACGAGTTCTTGTTCTGGACGTTGAGCATCTGCTCGTCCACCTCCTTGGTGCTCATGCGGCCACGGAACATCGCTGAGGCGGTGAGGTAGCGGCCGTGGCGGGGATCGGCGGCGCACATCATGTTCTTGGCGTCCCACATCTGCTGGGTGAGCTCGGGCACGGTCAGCGCGCGGTACTGCTGCGACCCCCGGGAGGTCAACGGCGCGAATCCCACCATGAAGAAGTGGAGGCGCGGGAAGGGGATGAGGTTGACCGCCAGCTTCCGGAGGTCAGAGTTGAGTTGACCGGGGAACCGCAGGCAGCAGGTCACACCGCTCATGGTCGCCGAAATCAGGTGGTTCAAGTCGCCGACTGCAAGCAAACATCAAAGTCAATGGTTACGATCCGACAGTGTCAACGGCCTCTGACGTACATGTGGGGGTCGTCAGCTTGAGCGTACGGAAGCAGATGTCGTACAGCGCCTCGTTGTCCAGCGCCATGCACTCGTCCGCGTTCTCCACCAGCTGGTGTACGGACAGCGTTGCGTTGTACGGCTCCACCACCGTGTCCGACACCTTGGGCGACGGCATGATGGAGAAAGTGAGCATCATTCGGTCGGGGTATTCCTCGCGAATCTTGGAGATGAGCAGCGTCCCCATCCCCGAACCAGTCCCACCTCCCATGGAGTGGGAGATCTGGAAACCTGGCACACAGGAAAAAGCAAGCAAGCACAGATTCAAGCGAAGAACTTGACAAGTTTGATCATGGGTTTTGCGGGATTTGCCTTGGAGACAATCGCATCCCTCGGCCTCCTTCCTCACAACGTCCAGCACCGAGTCGATTAATTCCGCGCCCTCCGTGTAGTGTCCCTTGGCCCAGTTGTTACCAGCTCCGGTTTGGCCGAAGACGAAGTTGTCTGGCCGGAAGATTTGTCCATACGGCCCCGACCTCACGCTGTCCATGGTACCCGGCTCCAAATCCATGAGCACCGCTCTCGGCACGTAGCGTCCGCCGCTGGCCTCGTTGAAGTAGACGTTGATCCTCTCCAGTTGGAGGTCGGAGTCGCCATGGTAAGTCCCGGTGGGATCAATGCCGTGCTCATCGCACACAACCTCCCAGAACTTTGCTCCAATCTGGTTCCCGCACTGGCCGCCTTGAATGTGGAGGATCTCTCTCATCTCTGCAGGGTTGTGTGCTGGGGAGAGGACTTGGGTGTTGTCGCGTTGAATGAAAGAGAGGTTTCCAAGCGAACTTGGATGCTGTGTGCCCTAACTACCGTTCAGCCGGCATGGCCACGGGATTCAGCTGAAATGGACAAGAGGAAGTTATCTAACTTCCCCAACTTCCACGCTTATCCCACCTTTTATACTTACAATAAAATAACTTTTCTTTTTCTAATTTCTCAGTCTTCTTTTTCCCAAGGCTTATAATTCAATGAAAGACTTATAACATACGAAGCTAGATCACAACGTGTTTAAGGCAACAGAAGATCTAAAAAGTATAGCTTTGGGAGGGACATGACAACCATGGAAGACTTTTGTTCTAGGGTCTGCATCGTCCAGCGACGAAATGTGATACTTTCGATTGTTTAAATCATCCCATCGAGCTGGTTTCAGGCTCTGATACTGGTTCACAGATTTCTCGGTCTTGGGAGAAGAAGTTCCATTCTTAAGAGTGCAACTTTATATTTTGAGAGAGCGAAAGAAATTCTCGAAATTCTCTTAAGTGTTTGGAGCATTGTTCCGAGTTTTGACAAGTTATAGCACATTCAGTACGGATTGATTTCTGGAATTTCTCATAGGAATTTTAGCCTCTTTTCTCTTTGAACATCTCTCAGAAATTCAGATGAATACAGATCGGATCAGATCTTGGAAAGGGAGATCAGTTTTTGTGAGAACATCCAGCAAACAAACAAGGAGGCAATCCATTTAATCCATCAAACAAGCCAACCAAACAACAATCTCGATCGAGACACTATCCCACCAGCACCAGCACGACGTCGAAAGAGAAGTTTAAACAAGGAAAATCAACAAGAAATATACGCAAGACCTTTCTCGTGGTCTCTCGATTCATGACTGATACGTATCGTCTTAATGCGATTCGTCTTTATAGTCCAGGAGAGAGCAAAGTCGGAGTTTTGTCTGCTTCGATAGAGCTTGCGAGAGATCAAGCAATAAGATATTTTGGAGACATAATCGAACCACCTGCAAGCAATTAATCTGAGTAGTGTCAATCGTGACTGAGAGAAACACACTACTGAGTGAGTGAGAGAGTGCAAACACTGCTGAAAAAAGAAGAGAAGATCCAGAATCACTGCTGCTGAACGAAAAGAGATCCCAGAAACTTTAATCACAAAAGTACCACGAGACGAAAAGAGAGAGGAAAGAAAAAAAAAACAAGAGAACTTTTTTTACCTCGGATGGATGGATCAGAGCTGTACAGAGAGTAACTTAGTAGACACATACTTAAAAAGCTTACAAGGTTAAGTACCATCAAAAGCTGCGTAACGTTCGTTCGTTCCCTGCCGGATCGTCACCACCCTTCTCGATTCTCGATTCTCGATCGCTTCCCACCGAGGAGTCGAAATCCCGAAAGGAAAGAGGCCTCTTCACGTCGCTCCATCGCTGGAGCAAACTTCCATCTCGTCCACGCTCTCGCTATTCTGCTGCTGCGCCAACTTTTGCTTGAGCTCGTCCAGCTGCTGCTCCAGGATGTAGATCCGCTCCTTGAGCGTCAAGTTCTCCTCTTCCAGATGCGCAATATGGTTCTCTTGATCGTGGAGTTGCATCCCAGCCAGCGAGAAGTTATCCTGATCGCCAGCTCCTGGCGTGTAGAGGATCTCAAACCGGTTGAGGTCCTGATCGAGGCGCTGCTCTAGCTGCTGGACGGATTGCACGCCTTGATCCACGTCGCTCTCGCTGTCCGAGTCGTCGATCCTGTCCTCCTTGAGCCGGATGAGACCATTCATCGAGCCATAGCCATTGACACCCCATTCCTTGTTCACTTCCTCGGTGATCCCCTCGCGATACGACGCCACGCCGGAGAGATCCGGGGTGGAGATCACAGCCGGCGTAGACGGAGTCGGGGGAGCGATCCCTCCGGAGCATTTGGCGCGCATGATGAAAGAGGTCGTGTTTCTTGGGGCGTGAGGGTGCTCCTGTGCCTGGGACTGCGCGGATTTCTTCTTTGGGAAGTATTTCCGCGCCTTGACGCGATTCTGGTGTTGGAGATCGCTCAGCCGCGGCGGCTCGTACGCCAATCTCCCCTGGAGCCTGCTACCGACCTGGTTGTTCTTCATCCGCCACAGATGCTTGGGCTGCTTGCGCCGCGCCTCCGCCGCATTGCCCTTGTCGCCGCCCCAATTGTCGATCGCGCCAGACATTGCGATTCCGCGAGCTCTATCCTCTCTCTCGCCCTCGCTCTCGCTTCCCCAAATTAGGGTTTCAAATTAGGGCTAAAATGGACCTAGGGTTCTTTCTTCTACCTTGCTCTAATTTGCGTTTTAGTGGGAAATATTTTCAAAGCTATGCCGCCCGGGTGCTGCGCGACGGCGGCGGCGGCGATCGCCTCCATCGCTCCTCCACGGATTTCTTCGAATCGCGGCGGGTCGAAGAGATCGCAATGCAACCGCGGCGGAATCGCGAGGGCGAAGTTTGCATTGCCGGCGCTTCCCTACGAATCGGTGGGTTTTGTCTAGGGTTTTAGCTTCCTTACTGGATCCATTCCTCTAGAGTGCGCTGGAGCCTTACATGAGCAAGAAGACGCTGGAGGTCCACTGGGGAAAGCACCAGCGAGGATACATTGAGAATCTAAACAGGCAAATCGCAAATACTCCGTTCGAGGGCTATCTCTTGGAAGACATTGTCAAAATAAGTTACAATAGAGGAAGCCCCCAACCGGCATTCAACAATGCAGCGCAGGTACTCCGTTTTTCTTCCTTCTTTTTTATCCTCTCAGACTAAGTAGAACCGAGCTCTTTTGTCTTCCTTGTTTCTCTTTCTCTCGGACTAAGAACTTTTTTTTTCTTTGAGCCGATGATAACCTGTCGTTGTTGTTTGTCAGGCTTGGAATCACGATTTCTTCTTCACTTCTCTCAAGCCTGGAGGTGGCAAATCTCCGACTGGCGAGATTGCCGAGCTTATTGACAAGCAGCTTGGCTCTTACGATAATTTTGTCAAGGAGTTCAAGCTCGCGGCAGCTTCTCAATTTGGTGCTGGTTGGGCATGGCTTGCTCGTGAGTTCCTAATTTTTCTTTCATCTCTTTCGTTTTATCCTTTTTGTTGTGTATTGTGACTTGAGAATACCTGCAGTGAAGGAAGCGAAGCTGGTCGTTGAGAAAACTCCAAACGCTATTAATCCTCTCATTTGGGATCACATTGTAAGCCTTTGAAATTCTTTTCTTCTCTCTTTTTTCCTTTGAATAACATGTCACCGCTATCTCTCGATTGCAGCCATTGCTTGTGCTCGATGTTTGGGAGGTATAAAGACTTTTTTACTCTCTTTGTTTGGATCTAACTCGCTCGCTTCTTTGGTTTTTGCAGCACGCTTACTATCTCGATTTCCAAGTGAGTATAGATTAGAGTTTCTCCCATCTCTCGAGCTAATAATGTTAACTCACATCCCGCAGAACAACAGGCCAGACTACGTGTCTACATTCCTGGAGCATCTAGTAAACTGGGACATCGTGAATGCGAGACTGGATCGAGCCAAAGCGTTCATGAACTGGGGAGAGCCGGATTGGGACCTCTTCGACAAGGATGCAGATATCTTAACTTACGAGGAGGCCGGGATCGACGTGGTTGAAGATTCAAGCTGAGAAAAGCAAGTGAAGCTCCTCAAGCAACATGGCTGCAGACAAACTCTGCAAAAGCGGATGCAACAGCTCGCCAGGTGTGTACTGCCAAATTGCTTTGTCCGGGAAATATGATCCTTCTCTTTCAGCCACAGGAGGACGAAGGACAAGAAACAAACTATTTCATCGCTTATACTTAGATCTGACACGGAAAGTTTTAGACGAGTAAAGCAAGCAGCTAAACGATCAATCAAAACTAGCAGAGTGGGCTAGCTTGTTTGCTGCTGCTGCTGCTGTGGTGGTGGAGGCTGATGTTGCTGCTGCTGCTGTGGGTGATGGTGGTGGTGGTGATTCAAGTGATGACGCCTGTCCATATCGCTCAGTCTCGAGCCATTCTTTTCAGCTACAAGACGGTGATGGTGGTGGACAGGCTCATAAAATGGCTGCTGCTGTTGGTGCTGCTGCTGTGGAACTAAAACCGGCCTCAACAACATCCTGGTGTTGTCGTCAACTTGCTCGTGAAAAATCTGCTGCTGTGGCTGCTGCTGCTGGAGTCCGTCACGGAACCGAGATGGAGAAGGGCCAGGCTTGGAAGTTCTCGTCTCCCGGCAGGAGCAGCAGGCGGTGGCGGACGCCATCACCGGGTAGAGCTGCTGATCACATATCGCTGGAGCTATCGGGTGGCCGTGGCGATGGTGGACGGCAGCAGGACTATACTGTCGGTTGACAAGAACTTCGCTTCCTGGGCACCAGGTGGTCGAAACGCAGATAAATCCATTGGCGGCCTGGAGATCTTGGCTGTGCTGGTCCGCCTTCTTGGGCGATTCTCCTTCGTGGTGGGCGACTTTGGACATGTCCGGAGGTGTCGGTGGCTCGTTGCTGAAGACCTGTCTCGAACAAGGATCGGTGCCTGGATAGTAGTGGTGTATCATCACCGCCTCGATCATCTCCTGCGGGATCCTTCCAGCCGAATTCTCCCTCGTCGCTACTGCTAGCTGCTTGCACGGCTCGTGGAGAGAGTCCTGCAGCTGCTGCTGGAGGAGTGATGATCTAGCGCTCCTCACCGAAGGGCACTCGTCGGGAGCTCTTGGAGACGTCCGCGGTGATACTCTCCTGCTGCTAGGCGAGCCGGAAGCCGTCTCCGCGATCCTGTCCGTGGCCGAGAGCTGCCTGTGCATCTTGATCGGCTTCACAGGACGACCACACTCGAGATCCTCGTCGAGAGCTCTGGATGGCCGAGGAGCAGCACCAGAGTTTCCACCGCTCGCCACCGGCATTCCATTCAGCGCTTCGATGAACTGCTGGTCCAGAGATCTCGATTCGCTCAGTCTGGGAGAGGACGATGACGGTGGAGTCGGTGCCGGAATGAAGAACAAGAAGAGCCTGAGACGAGCGCTGCTATCTCGGCCCTCCATCCGGAGATACTCGTCGATCATACTCCCAAAATCCTCCTCGCAGACCACCGAGATGAGCGCGTCCAAATCCTCGTTTGGGAGCTGGTACTTAACCGCCACGCTCCTCCCCACCATCGCCACGAGCTTGGCCATCATCTCCCCAAAGGAAATGCTCCGCTGCCACAGCAAGATCCTCGTCTCGCCGCCCACGTAGCGGAGCTGCCCGTCGTGCGGCCGCGGCAAAATCCTCCCGCCATAGCTACACATGATCTTGATCTTGGAGTTTGGGCAGGGCGGCGACAGGGATTCCGACTTGACAGAGCTCTGGTCCTCCACCGACGATGAATTCACGGATCCCATGACGTTGTCATCCTCCATTTGGTCGCGATCACGCTGATCGTGATCGTGCTCCCTGTCCATTACCCCTGCGGCTGCTGGCTGTTGCTGCTGTTTGGAATTCACGGCGATCATCGTTTGGCGCTGTTGTTCTTCTTCCACTTGATAATCAAGAATACACATACCTTGACTCAAAGGAGACGATTACACCCTCTCTTTTCTTCTCCTCCTCTCTTTCCCTCCTTGCCCAACACCACAAAAGAAATTTCATATTTTTAGGCCAAATACAAAAAATAAACGTTTCTCCTTTTCCGGTCGCAACCGTCGGATGGCCATCTGACGGTGTCACGTGGACAGTGTGCACCGTCGGATTGGCATTGCGCGGTCGAGGCACCTGTCCAGCCCAGAGCCGTCGGATGCGTGGCGGGGGCAGTGTGAGCCCCGGCATTGGCGACACGTGGCCGGAGTTAATGCTGAGCCGTTGGATTGTGGATTTGAACGGTTTCTCGTTAAGCCCCCCCGGCGGGCGGTTAGGGTTCTTGGGGCCGGGCACAAACATTTGGGAGGGGGCCTCGATTCATTTCATTCAATTGGGTTCAGTGCGAGAGACCGGATTGATTGATGGGTCTTGTGCGCAAGATTTTTGACCGAATTTTCTGGTGGTCTTTTGTTTTGATTGTAACTCTTGGCGTGGGCGCGGCAGTAGCATCTGATTCTGTCGCGCGCGAGTTACCGCAGCGCCTGCTCTTGGCAGGGAGTCCCAGATTTGGGAGCTCTCGGTTTGTTTGCGCAACATAACTGCGCACACTGAGCGGCATGTGCTCTTAAAACCACGCTCTTGCCCTAAAACCTGGAAACGCGCGCAAACTTTCAAATTTCGAACTTATCCCTTAGAATATTCTTCCTTGCACACTTGGAAAACAAATATCCACACCGCACAAACAATGCAAAACGAGGGAGACGATCGTCACTACCTTGCTTTGGCGCCCCGGAACGCGCTCAGCGCGAGGGCGTACGCGAGGATCAGGATCGCCAGCACCACCACGTCGATGATCGCCACGGTCCTCCAGCGGCTCTTCACTTGCTGGAGCAGCCCCGCCTTGCACGAATCGCAGTTGAAGCAGAGATCGTCGTTGTTCCAGCGCCGGCAATCGGGATTGGCATCCGGGGTGAGGGGGTGGAACCAGTTGGTGGCGTTCCTCCACTGGTAATTGCAAGCGAAGGGAGGCTTGCAGCATCCAGACTGATCACAACACGAGTAATCCATCGATCGCTCTTGGAAGAAAGAAACCTTAGATTGCTGGATGAGCTTACCTCGACCGCTGAGAGGTCCGCCATGTTGAACTTGTCCAGGGTGTTGTAACTCTCCGCCATGTCGTCGCAGGTCTTGGCGTCGCGGAGGCAGAGGGTGATGAGGCTCCAGCTCCTGCGATCCTCGACGCGATTCCGGAGCCAGTCGGAGTAGTCATTGAACTCGAATTCCTTGTAGACTTTGCCCACCAATCCATGCCCGTTCTGGCCCGAGGTCACCACGAACGCGAAGAGGACGAATGCCATGAGCGTGAGGATCGCCATGAGCATGAAGATTGTGTAGAATGCGAGCAGCGCACCGTTCATCGTCAGCGCGCCGGCAATCCCCGCCAGAGAGATTAGAGTGATGGCGACGCCCAGGACGATGATCGGCCACTCGAGGAAGCGGACGCAATCGGTGCTGTGCTTGGTGGAGAGCCAGATCCCGGTTCCCAGCACCACGATCCCACAGAGGAGCGTGATACCACTGAAGGCAGCCATAGCCATATTGCTCATTCTCCTCCTTGCCATCGCTGATCCGGACAGAGTGCGGTGAGAAAGAGGAGGAATTGGCTCGAATTGATTGATCCATCGCGACTGAGTGATTATATCGTGCTCCGCGAAGGCGTACAATCGCGCCCAAGGAAAGGATCTTGCTTTCTTCGCTGTAACTTCTAATCAAGGAACAGAGAAAGAGGGAAACAGAGGAGCAAAATTTAAGTATTGGGAATATGCGAGATGCTTTTCTTTCCCGGGAAAGCATTGCCTCTGCCCTAAAATCATGTGGCGATGGAAGAGATCTGGCACGGGGCCGAGAGGTCCTTGCGTCTGCCGCGATCGATCTCTCCCGGGATACCTTCCTTGCGAATCTGGCAGTGGAGATGTTTGGAAAGTGCGGGGATCTGGAGGCTGCGTGGGGGATCTTCGCTGGGATCAGCAATCGCAATGTCTTCTCCTGGACGATCATGATCTTTGGGTTTGGCGCAAGCGGCAAGATCGAGCAGGCCAAGAATGTCTTTGATGCGGCACCAGAGTGGAACCTCTTCACCTGGAACACGATGCTCGCGGCGTATGCCCAAAATGGGCATTTTTTCGATGCAAAGAAGCTGTTTGCCGCCATGGTCAGACGCGATGTGGTCTCCTGGAACACATTCCTGGAAGTCTTTGCGCAAACTGGCGATCTTGATGGGGCGATTGAGGTGTTTGATCGTATGCCGGAGCGCGATCTAATCTCCTGGAACACTATGCTTGCAGCATATGCCCAGAAAGGAGATCATCACGCTCGTGGCGCTCGCTTGATCTTCGTCCAAATGCCAGAGCGCAATCTCGTGTCGTGGGCGACGATGCTCCAGGCTTGTCTTGCGGCAGGAGATCTCGCCGCCGCCATGGATCTCTTTGACAAGATGCCCGAACGCAATGCCGTGGCATGGACGATCATGATCCAGGCGCTCGCACAGAGGGGCGATGTCGCGGATTCAATCCAGATTTACGAGTCCATGCCCGAGCCCAGCGTCGTCTCCTCCAATGCAATCTTGGGCCTCCTTGTCGCGCGCCAGAAGCTGGATAAAGCTCGCGAGATCTTCTCCCAGCTCCAGCAGCGCGATCTTGTGACTTGGAACACGATGATCGCGGCGATGGCGTCAAGAGGGCACCTCGAGGAAGCAAGATGGATGCTGGAGAGTATGCCCGAGTGGGAGCTGTGGACCTGGAACTCGCTCCTTGCGGGATATACCCAACAAGGCCATCTGGGCCTCGCGCAAGCAATCCTTGCTCTCATGCCCGAGAGAGACATCGTCTCCTGGAACTCCATCCTGGCGGCATTCTCCCACCGCGGGAATCTCCAGGAATCCAAGAAGATCTTCCAGAGAATGCCCGAATGGAACGTTGTGTCGTGGACGTCGGTGATCTCCGCGTGTAGCCAGTCCGGCGATGGAGCGCAAGCGATTGATCTCTTTCGTGAGATGATCCAGCACGGGCTTCTCCCTGACCAAGTTGCGTATTTGAGTGCCTTGGTTGCTTGCAGCCACGCAGGGCGGCTTCGCGAGGGCTGCGAGATCTTCGTTTCAATGAGCGGCGACTGTGGAGTCAAGCCTCAGCCCAGACACTACTGCTCGATGCTGGATCTTTTAGGACGGACTGGGAGATTGAGCCAGGCGAGAGAGCTCCTGGAAACCATGCCTTACGTCCCGGATGGCGCTGCTCGCCGGGGATTTCTCGGCTCGCAAAGGAGTCGGCATGGTTTGAGCTCGTCAGACTGCGCAGTTTTGGGAAGCATTCTTGTTGCGGAAAAGGCTGTGCCAACTTGATTACCAATTGCTTCAATTGAAACAGTGCTTCTTAGTTGCTTCTTAGTTATTAGTTTCGAGCAAAGGTAAACGAGTGTAAATAATCTTGTAGCTCTCCAAGTACGCGGACTTGGTTTGGAAGCGACTTTCCAAGCTTGACTAAGTTGATGTCGGCTGCGGCGTGCTTACTTTTGGCTAGGTGGTGGCGATGATCTTCAGTTTTGCATCAACACTCAAGAGTTTCTTTGTGATCGAGTTCACACTTACTGATTTTTTCAGACGCCCCTGAACGTCAGTTCTTACGCTGTTTTAACGTCCTCTTGTTGCACAGAATTGGAACAAGATTTCTTCGCAAGTGGATTGTTCCGGAATCCGGACCTTCGCCAAACCCCACACCATCCTTATCCTGTTTTTATTTCAGTCAGTGAAGTCAAATTATATCTAATTGTTGACTTTTCTGGATTTTCGGATTTTCCTTCTTTCAGAAGAGGCTCAACGAGACTTCAACGAAATTCGAGCGTTTGATCGTGATCCATGTTTGCGACAGTGGGAGTTTTCCATCCGACATTTGCTTACACATAAGAACTAGATGACCTGCAACACTCTGCACGAAAACCTTATTTCAGGAGTGAAAGGGGTAGGGAAGACCACTTATAAGTTACCACATCTCGAAGTGCAATTGCTAGTTATACAAAGGCCAATTCATAAAAGTACAAACTGCATTGGATGTTTTATTGATGAGATTCACGATAACGCATCACAATGTTTAGCTAGCCAACTATAGATACGTCTCTTGCGATGGTCGTAACTGCAGACCCTTGGCAATTCACGGAGTTGTAAAACCTAGCCAGATTTCTTCCATCATATTCCACATGAAACCCATCCTGAAAACCAGAAAACAGGTTGGTGCAACTTATGCTGTTGATGAATTGATAGTCGCCTGCACAATTGCCACCTGAGTATGCATAGTGATAGTATATTTAAATTTAATTCCATCATCACCCTTTAAAGATGGCAACTAATCATTCACTTGTACCTCACATATTTCGAGCACATACTCCTTGAAGCCACCTTTCTCCACCTTGGAACATCCAAAAACACTGTCTATGAGACGAGAAGAAAACCGTTTCCAGGCTATCGTCTTAAATGCTTTTGTGCTTTGATCGATCACCAACCAGGAGAAGCTGATTGAATTCCTGCTGGCCAACTGCCAGAAATTGCACAACCATGAGGATGAAGTAATGGCAGTTCGAGCTGGTTTTTAAAGGAGGCGAGTGTGACATGGTTGGTTTCTGTGCAGTGCAAGCTGCTGGTGCTGGAGTATGGGCCACAGGTGTTGGCAAATCTGGAAGCTGTGCTCGATGACGACGAGATCTGCGCCAAGATTGGAATGTGCCAGTCGACCTTGAGCTTGCCAGGCTCAATAACAATAACACCTTGCTCAATTACGTGCTGGCCCTTGTTCAATTACGAGTGTGGAATCCATGACTGAAAATCTATTGAGTTTAGCTGCCTGAAAATGTTCTTGCTTTTGGAAATTTGGATCTCTAACTATGAATTCACATCTGATAGAAGACGTGGTGCAGAGTCGTCATGGAAATGCTCACTGTGACTATCAGATGCAACTAAAATCACTCCTGACCACATAATCACAACATCCCTCTAGACAACATCCCATCCACTCACCAAATAACCCGCTCGCTGCAGATGCCCGATGAGTGGACCACTTACTGATAAGGGCCAGATTGTTCCGAAACCTAAGCTAACTTAAAGCGTGGTATGCTTTCACATCATGAAACATGTGAAAGAAAAAAGTCTTGCACGAATTTTGTTGAATATTGTGAAGACGGTTCCTCAATCTGGATGATCCCTGCTGGTTGGCTAAAAAAACTTAAATTTACATTATGGTCACGAATGCCTAAAGAGCAATATGCTCTATTGATAATGGATACACGGCTTTAAGCTTTTATGCAGTTCCTTAACTAATGCCTATTGCCGCACAAAAACATGGACCATGAATTGTTGCTGGAGAATTGCAAATTGACAGTTGCCCCAATTTTGTTGACTGAAGCAAATGCCCTATATTAAAGACTCTTATATATATATATATATATATATATATATATATATATATATATATATATATATATATATATATATATATATATATAAAGAAGCTAATAGTTATCTATAGTCAACGCTGCTGACTTGACTAGCACTAACCACAAGCATGGTGTTCCTTGTAAGCGGTAGATAATTCAGAACCATTATCCACTTGTTCGTATTATCATGTGAAGATGAAGATACACGATAGTCAAACAATGTCAATCATTAGCTGTGTTCTCTTACATCGCAGCCTGTTCCTATTCACATCCTTTATGGTAATGAGCTGAACAGAAATGAAAATCATAAATAAATAGTGTCTATGACTTGATTTTATCTAGACTTGAATTTTCATAGGTGATACAGTAAGTTGGATACCTACAGCTTATGAACATTACTACTCATATATCCCACAAAACAATCATGCAGTCGTATCACGAGAGAAGCAGCAGCACTTACTTGAATCGGAAATCAAACAACGTAACTGCTTGTTTAATATTCTATAAAAAAAATGTACAGATCACAAAATATGCAAGATGTTCTAGATGGATGCTACATGTGGAGCTATATTCACCACTCACAGACAAAGGGATCAGGATGCTGCCACGGCAACTAAGTGCCACCCGCAGCTCAACAAGGACCCGCTTGTTGCAGATGCCCGATGAGTGGACCTCTTGATTTATGTTTTCATAAATGGCCCCACAAAGTGAAAAATAGTCATCCCTGATTTGCCCTTACACCATGAACATGACATGATGATATTGGAAAAGGTCGTAATCTGGCTGATCCACTGAGTGTTATCAGAGCAAAGCATAAATTTAATAAGCATTTAACAACATAGTGACAATGTGACAAACGCAATGTCCACTACCAAGCATGGATATGTACATGGCTTCAAGCTCTCCCTTTGCAGTTGCCCAGCTGTTGTCCAAAACAAAAATCCCAACCCTCCAATTCAGATGCTCAAGAATAAGTTCCAGCGGATCACCCCATACCATCGTGATGTTCTTGGAATAACACTTGTCAACTGACACTTTGAATTAAACTTCACCCAAGTTAAGCAAATCCTTATCTTGCATGATCTTTATAAAGTCTATAGCTTGTTTATTTACATATAAGGTTTAGGGTTTACTAGCAAGTTAGGGTTTATCACAGGTGGGCCCTCTTTATTATTGCACTTCAAGCACAATAATGTAACAAAATTTTGTAGCTGTAGTATGTTATCAATTGAATTTTTAATTAATTGAAATTTTAATTTTTATTGCAGCCTCTAAATAGAAAAACTATAATATACTATAGGCATTGTAGCATTTATTTTAATATTATTAAAATTTAATTAAGTAATTAACAACAGAGAGTTGAATTTGAACACTACAAACATAAAAAAAGTGATCAGATCATATATTGCCACATACATAAAATTTATGTCAAGAAAACTCTCATCTTAATAAATGTGTTATGTCAGTTTATGATAAGATTGCTACATATTTATCCAAGCTTAGCTAGTCTTTATTTTTTGTTATTACAAAGAAAATACTATGGAAACTCATGAGAATAAATTTTTTTGTAAATAATATAAAAAGGACCTAAGTTAGCATAATCAAAGTCACCAATACCACTTATATACTACAAGTTCAGTTTCACTATAAGATAGTTATTGCTCCATATAGTGCACAATATGCTCAGTTTTGGCTATAATTCTCCTTACACTCTAATTGTGTTATTAATTTTAGCATTATTAATAGAAGGTTTTCAGTGCTCCAACTCTTACAAGCTACATTACAAAAGAAATATATTTAATCATTTTCCGAATTTTCAGTGAATTTTCAATGAAAACTTGATTTCACTGAATTTTCTTGCCACCTTAGTTTTTGAGATTCAAACCCTTATGTTTCATGGTTATAAGAAGACAGATGTCCCAATCAGTGGTCGAAAAATGCCTCCTTCTCCCATATAAAAACTTGGAACTTTTTAAAAACTCTCGGGCAAATCAAACCATGAAGGATCTACGGCCCGGGAAAAAAATCATGTACAAGGATTTAACCTTGGTTATTTGATATCAAGAGGATTTTATCTTGGGTATTTTAATAAGAAAAGGATTTTTTTGTTAACCCACATTAATTAATTGAAATATAAGTACATTTAAATTAGTGTTAAAGATGCTAGTAGAATATACTACATACCACCTGTCAGCGGAGTAGGTAGGTCATTTCAAGAGCAAGAGCCCACTCGGTGAGACGCTGTATGCTGCTTAGGTAAACGTGGTAGAATGCCGACACTACCTCCAGGTAAAAAGAAGTGTCCCTTAGCTATTGATCTTGCTTCTGGGAGGCAATCAACTCTAAATTTTTGGAAGGCTACCGTGCAAATAAAGATTGAGAATGATATTGAGGAACTAGATGATGATGTAGCATCAGGGCATTTTAAGGAGCATTGGAAGTAGAGCTACCATTGGTTAGAATTTTGTAAGCCACAAATTTTTCCTTTCCACTTTGCCAGCTTACCTCGCCTATCCGTCCAACACTGCCTTGGCTTTTGCTAAGTTCCCTCGCCAAGGTTCTCGCCTATGGTACCAGCTCCTACTTGGTTTCAGCTACTCACTGCACGAGCAACGGAGTGTTAGCCATCCTTCCATGGATTCCCAAATCACTCCCAATCCCCCTCCCCGGGTTAGACTAGACTTAAGGTTCGGCTACACTCCCCGCAAGCACAAGCAGCCAAGCACACCAAGCTTCCAGGTTCCTAACATCCCTTGGTACCACAAGACTTGATCATGGGACCCTCTAAATCCCAAGTCTTGAGTGCAACACTTGCTTCGGGACGCCGGGGCGAAACACCGTGGCCTAGCGGCCCGGTATGGGTACCTCTCGCCCCCCACTTCCATCCCGAAGGAAGGCCCAAGCCCCTAGGAAGGGCGA